CGTGAGCATCGTGAAGACTTGATTCCAACGGACAAACCCGACCAAGCCCCCCATCCGGCCCTCGCATCACCTCTCTCCTCTTAGAATTGAAGGACGTCTTCCCCAAGTCCTTGCCTACCGGCTTGCCACCCCATCGTGGTGTATCTCACACCATCGATCTCGAACCTGCCCATTCCCCTCCTTGCCGCCGTACCAACTCTCCATCCCCGAGGCCGAAGAGACGAAGCGCCAAGTCAATGAACTCCTTGAAAAAGGATTCATTAAGCCTAGCTCATCCCCCTCCGGAACCAGCTGCCTCTTCGTAAAAAGCGGTGGCACCTCGGAGCTTCGCTTGTACACAGACTACCGCGCCTTGAACCGGATCACAATCAAGAATCTACTCCCCTGGATATTTGAACTTCTTGATCGCCTCCTTGGAGCCAAATACTTCACCAAGATTGACCTTCGTAGTGGCTTTCACCAGACCCGTATTCGCGAGGAAGATACCCATAAGACCGCCTTTCGCTCTCGCTTCACGTATTACGAGTAGTGATGCCTTTCGGCCTCACAAATGCCCGAGCGACCTTTCAAGTCTACCATGAGCCACATCTTCCGCGATTTGCTCGAAGTCTGTGTTGTGATCTACCTCGATGACATCCTTGTCTTCAGTCCCACCTTCAGCACATTGAGAAGGTACTTTCCATCCTCTACGAGCAAAGGTTCTACGCTAAGCTTAGCAAATGCACTTTTGCTGCCTCGAGCGTGGACTACCTTGGCTACATCGTCTCTATTGACGGTATCCGCATGGACCCCTCGAAGGTTGCCACTCTCGTCGATTTCCCACCTCCCACCACCTTGCTCCAACTTCGGTCAGTCATTGGACTCGCTAACTACTACCGCCCCTTCATCCAAAACTTATCCGACACCTCCTATCCATTCCATAAGCTGACCCGCGCCACTGAGTCCTTCACATGGACCGAACGCCGCTCAAACGCCTCGTCACTATGACCCCTGTTCTCAAGATCGTCGACCCGTCTCGCCACTTACACGTCACCATCGACGCTTCAGACTTTGCCCTTGGCGTTGTTCTATCCCAACAATTCCCTCGCACCCCCCCCATTATCAAAGATTCCCCCACACAATCCGAAGCACCTTCCGACGAGTACCCTATCGCATTCGCGAGTAAGAAGCTCATGGCTGTTGAGATGAACTATCCCTCCAATGAGAAGGAACTCCTCGTTGTCATTATGCCCTTAAAGTCTGGCGCCCTTACCTCGATAGCCAGTACTTTACCATTCGCACGGACAACACCGTCGTCTCCAGTATCGTCACCAAAAAGGATGTCACCCCTCGCCAGGTCCGCTGTCTGGACTTTCTTGCCCAGTTTACCTTCACCATCTGCCATACTCCTGGTAAGACCAATCGTCTTGCCGATGCCCTCTCTCGCCGACCCGATTACAAGCCCCTGGAGAAAGTCTTCGCTGCCATGATGCATGTCAACCTTTCCCAATCTCTCCAACATCGTTTCATCCATGGCTACACCTCCTGCCCCGACTTCGCCCCCTACCTACACCAAACTCCGCAACCTTGCCACTGTCCTTGACTATTCCCTCATCGACAATCTCCTTTACATGGATACCAAAGGAACTCGCCCCCTTTGCATCCCTTCCGTCCGTGGTCTCCGTACGCAGTTCTTGGTCGAACACCTCGAGGCCAAGACTATCAGACACCTCGGTTTTCAGAACATCTTTGACAATATATCCCGTTACCTCTACTGGCCCTCGTTTCTTGTCGATGTCAAAGCCCACATCCGTTCTTGCCCTACTTGCCAAGCCGTCAATCCCTCCAACCAAGCTAAGGCTGGCAAACTCCAGTCTCTCGCCATACCCACCCGCCGCTGGCAATCTGTCTCCATGGACACCGTCTGTGGTCTCCCCATGACCGACCATGGTCAGGATTGCATCTATGTCGTTGTCTGCCACATTACCAAGCGTGCCCATTTTATCCCTTGCACCACCACCTGCAGAGCCAAGGACATCGCCAAACTCTTCTTCGACCACGTCACCTGTCATCATGGTCTCCCAGAAAACATCATCAGCGATCGTGACTCCCGATTCCTCTCACAGTTATGGAGAAATCTCTTCAAGGAATATGGGACCACCCTCAAGTACAGCCCTGCCTTTCACCCCCAGACTGATGGCCAGACAGAGAAGATGAACGATACTCTCCAGCGCATCCTCCGGAAGTAAAGATCAATGATACTCTCCAGCGCATCCTCCGGAAGTAAATATGAATGATACTCTCCAGCGCATCCTCCGGAAGTATTGTCATCCCCATCAGCACGACTGGGACCAGCTCCTCTCCGCTACCGAGATCGCCTTCAACAACACTGTCTGCCCCTCCACTGGCATGTCTCCTTTCTACCTCGACCTTGGCTACCATCCTCGCCTGCCCTCGTACTTCTTGCTCCCCTCGCAGCCCCACCCATCTACTCCCTGTCCCTCTCTCAATGAACGGGTTGCCACAATGAACCGCCTCCTAAGAGAAGACACTGAATCTATTCAACGAACTCAGGAACAACAAGCCAAGCAAACGAACAAATATCGCCTTGACGTCACTTTCCATGTTGGGGACAAAGTCTGGCTCTCCGCCAAACGCTTTGATTCCGAACAAGGCTTGTCCAAGGAACTCTCGAACAAGTGGCTTGGTCCATTCCCCATCATTGAAAAAACATCCGCTGTAAATTACGAGCTCCAACTCCCTCCTGACATGAACTGCGTCCGTCTTGTCTTCCATGTAGAATACTTGAAAGAATTTCACGAATCACCTCCTCAGTTCTCGGATCACCCTCATCCTCTTCTAGCACCTATCATGCTCCCCACCGGTCCTGAATTTTCTGTGGAGTCGATCAACGGCCGTAGAACAACTCAAGTATCTGACCACCCCGGGCCTATCACAGAATACAAAGTAAAATGGACAGGATACCCAGACGAAGAATCAACATGGGAACCCCTTGCAAATCTAAAGAACACCATGAAACTCGGTCGTGCCTATGATCTTACCCACCCTGTCTCATAGCTATCTACTTGTCTATGCCTCGACCTGTACATACCTACTCTACACACACCACCCCTGAACCCAGCCTAACCCCCACCCTTGATCTTGATCTCTCGCTGTCTGATCCGCCCGTGCCTCAGCCTAAGTCCTTCTCATCTGTCCCCTCCCACACTCTCTGTCTCTCTTGACCAATGGTTGTGGACCTGCGTGACGCCGGCAATAAAGGATCTAATGGCAAGCGCACGAGGACGATGGCCTGCTGCCTCATGATCATGAAGATAACGCAGCTGGTTTGCCGTTTCCTTGGCTGGTATCTGGACTCGCGGACTTACTGGAGCAGCGACATGTGATCTGGACCTTTGCATCAGTCTGCGATTTCCTTGCTACCAGATCAGACCTCCTTGCAGTTCATGAACGGACACACTGCAGCACTTGGACTTTGGACACTTGTACTCCTACTTCGCTTTCCCGCAGCTTGGACGTTCGACAACTACCTGTTGCAGCCGCTGAAGACCGGTTCTCTCACCTATCCTGGATCTCATCAAGACCTCCGAAGACCTTCCTCAAGACATTTTTCGCATTTTGACACTTTGTTACAGACCTGAGACTTTGTTCTCCCCAGATTCCTCAGACACCCCAGCCCTTGAGCATTGAACGAACTTTTTTTTTTTTTTTTCTCAAACCTGACAACCTATGACCTTGTAGATCATCAATAGAACTGCCCTGTTACTTGTAGAACCTCAATAGGATCACCCAGTTACTTGAACATTGCTACCCTCAACCTTGTAGAACTTCAATGGGACTACCCTGTTACCTGAACATTGTTACCCTCAACCTTGTAGAACCTCAATAGGATTACCCTGTTACTTGAGCATCAATAGTATTGCCCTGTTACCTGTTTTACTTCAACCTTGTAACACCTCAACTACCCTGTTACCGGAACATTGATACCTTCACACTTGTAGAACATCAGTAAGATTACCCTGTTACTTGCATACTCCCCCTTTCCTTTTCTGACCAGTGATCGGCCCTGTCCCGTCCTTCACGGTTGTTCATCAGGTCTTTGGCAGGGACATTGCCTTCCAGAGGGAGGGGATAGTGTTACGGACTCAGCCAGGGCTCGATCCCTGGTCCGTGGGTTAGCACCGGCCAGGCTGCAATTTCATTTTTGGGTCTCTGTTCTCAGACTCCTGACTGTTGGCGCCCTCTGCAGTTGGCGCCCGTTCTCAAATTCCTCTTTTGGGCACTTTCGGATTTTGATACTTGGCACCATCCGGCATTCTGGCGCCCAGACTCAGACCTTCGATTTTCAGCTCAGCCCTGAGGCAATTTGCACTTCTGCCCTCGGGACTGAACTTGAGTCCGGTACTTAAGACCGGACTCAAGCCCCATACGGGATTGCTTGTGTTCCGTGTGACTGTACTTTGACATTGTGTTCAGGAATCCAAGACTGCGACTTTGCAACTTTGCCACTTTGTGTCTGCGTCCGTCGAGTGGTGTCGAGTCTGCATCGAGTTGAGTGGGTGTGTGTGTGTGCTCTCACTCTCCCTCCCTCTCCCAGCCTCGCTGCCCTGTCTCCGCCTTGTTACATTAGGCTTGGCAGAATGCACTTTTTTGGGGTTCGATGGTTTAAGGGTACGGTCACATTACATTTTGGATACCACGGCCAGGATTGTGCCGCCTTGGTTTCTATTTGTTAAATGTGGTTTTATGATTTGTGTTGTATGAAGTACCACCTCTGTTCTGTCTCCATTGTCGGCTAATCATATCCAATGTTCAAACTTGAAACTGAAATGTGTGGGACTGTGCAAGGTAGTTGGCCTTGAAGAATTTGTATACATCACTCTCCCTTGTGACTGAGTGGCAGGATGCCTGTTTGCTTAACGAAGGTGTTTTTTCTCTGTAAGGATTGACTGGATTTCATTGTTGCATTGACATGCATTTTCCGCTTGCCTGTGTCTTAGGTGCTGGAGCCCCAATGCGTGGGGTAATCAAGGTGGATGGCATGCTGATGTGCCAAGTGCTGCAACTCCTTCGCCTGCAGGAAATGGAGATCGTGCTGGTGGTGGTCCTGCAGGGGGTGGCAATGCTCCTTGGAATGGGCGCTCGACAGATGCAGCTGTTGGCGCCCTGATCAAAATGCTGAAAGGGGCAACTCCACTGCGTCCATCGGGGCGGCAGGCGACGGGGGAATGCTTGACTGGCTCTGTCCCCAGTTGCTCGGGAAGCAGGTCGCCCAGGCATTCCGCAGGGGCTGGCCCAGGTTTGGAGTCGAATAGTGGGGTTGCAGCGTCACCAATCGTTTCGCCAGGAAGACCTCCTTCAAGGCCAGCAATCGTTGGTGGTGGAGGTGGTACCTCGCAGAAGAGTGCTACTGAGATAGATGCAGGTCATCGGGGGTTTGGAATTGGGAGCAGCACTTCCTTCCGAAGGGCACGCGCGTTGCAGTTCACGGCGGATGCTCTAGAAGAATTGCTGGAATACACAGCAATGAAGAATGGGCTTCTGAGGCAGCGTGGAGTTGGCGGAACGCCAGGTGGTGTTGATATGGCTGGGGACACTGTGATGGCTGCTGACAGACTGCCAGGTGGCATCTGCCCTGTGGATGTGCCAGTCAGTGAGAGTGACAGCTGGAAGTGCTCGCCGCATGAAACAGAAACATGCTGCACAGCGGGTGGTGATGAATGGGGGCAGGGTCAGAGCTGGAGGAGCGGGGCCAGTATAGCATCGTCCTGACCAGAAACTCCAGAAGCACTCCAGCTTCTGCTGTGTCCATGCGCCTCTTATGAGGTGGCCTTCTCCTGACAGCATATATGTGCGTGTGTGAGTGAGTGTGTCTGCACCTTGACCCCAATCTTTGGTCTGCCATTGTGACAAGACCGTGAACAGAAGATTGGGGGCTGTCCAACCCATGCCTCCCCCCTCTCCCATTTCGCTGTCTAGAGGCTAACTGAAAGCAGATACGTGACTGCGAGAAGAGATTATTGCGAGTAGACTAGATGCCTAAAGGAGCCGTTAGCAAGCTGGGGTGTAGCTTGCTTGGGTATGGGGAGCGGGTCTCCTGCGTGTGGTCCGTCCTTGTGTGCCTGTGTCATGAATCTTCTGTGTTCTCCTGCACTGTAAATTCTGTACATGGACTGTCGCTCTATCGTTGATTTGTTCTGCTGCTTGAATCTGTACGGCAAGTGTGATGACGAATTTCGTGTACAAACTGTATAGCAGCCATGATTGTATGTATCAATTACATCTACCGAGTGTGAGTTGCATTTGAACTATCGATCCCAGCATGATGTCTATAAGTGAATTTCGACCCTCCGAGGTGTCATTCCTGACTCTGATGAATTACTTCTTTTGATTTGTTTCTTTTTTGTGTTTTTTCTTCATCTTCCTCCTGCCCCGACTGGTTTTTCCTTCACTCAGGTGCTTTGGCTACTGCAATCAACCTCGCTTCTTTCGCACTCAACATGCATGTAAACAGGTAGCGCAGCAAACTGGCGACAAGCGCCCACTCAAAACTCAGAGATATGGAAACCAAGAACACAGTTCAGATACAAGTCTTCTCGCCCACTTCGTCTTTGTCTGGAGTTCAGAGCTATGGCCGCTACCTCTACTGCTATGGCTAAGCTCTCCTTCTCGCCCACTTTGTCTTCGGGCATACCGCAGACCACCTCGCACAAGTCATTGTGGCAGCGCTTCCGCATGGCTTACACAGGAATGAATGAATGGCTGGGCGCTGCCTCTTGATTTATACTTCTGTAGCTCGTTGGTCTGCCCCTTTCCCATGCCCCTGGTGCACACAGTCCCACACGGTACTTGCTTTGACTGGACTGAGACTGACTGGGACTGGGTACCGCTGACTCAGCACCGGTGGACTTCGCCACTTGCCCACTTGCCTCGGTCTACTGTGGGCAGTGCCCAAAAGGCAACTTCCAGACCTTCCGGAAGACCGTGGACTTGGCCTTTCGGTACTGTAGCAGCTACGACCTTGACCCTTCAGGACTGTAGCAGCTACGACCTTGACCCTTCGGAGGAGCTACAGCTACGACTTCTAGAACTCACTAAGACTCCTATCCGACAGGTCTACAGGATCGAACCCCTATAACCTACAGACCTACGACAACCTACCAACTGTGGGGAAAGACACAGGTCGTGGGTTCAACTCCTGGGGTCGACACAGATACTGTACACAGGTAGGGTAAGGACTAGGGATGGAGCCCTGGGATCTGCATTGGCTACTGCAAAGGTGGAATCCGTTTCACTCCCGCCGGCCTAAATTCGAGGTCCTCCGAGAATGTCTTAGTTCAAGGCCGGACCTTTGCCTTTCTTGTCTCTCTCAGAGGCCCTAACTACGTCGGGAGCGGTTTCTAGAAGTTCAGTTCTTGTGAACCAGCAGTCGTCTTCCGGTTCCTGATATGTGAATCGGACCTTGTACTGTTTCTGTGGACGACCTCTACCTCCTGTTCTGAATACATCCTCAGCTACAATGCCCTCAATGTCATATCTCCCATCCATATCCGGAGGGATCATGGATCTTCTTGAGGGAAACTGTTGGCTTGTGACTCACGGCAACAGTTTTGACGCATGAAATACGGGGTAGGTGTGGAGGTGTGCTGGGATCTCTACGGTGTAGGACGGCCCATCCTCTCCGCACTTGACTTCTAGAACTGGCCATGGTCCCCTGTAAGCTGGCAGTAACTTTTGCGAGATGTTCTCCTCAGGAGAAAACTCTTTGGACTTTCTCCTTAGAACTGGCCATGGTCCCCTGTATGCTGGCAGTAACTTCTGTGAGATGTTCCCCTCAGGAGAAAACTCTTTGGACTTGACCTAGACTAAGTCGCCTACTTGGAACTGCGATGTGGGCTTGCTCTATCATTCTATGTTGGGCCTTCCTGAGGTTCTCGACGACTGTAGCTAGCTCTTTCTCGTGTTGTATCGCAAACTCCTTGGTACCGGGCGGTAGCCTGTGAATCTGGTCCCGGTTAAGTCCCACAAACGGTCTGAGGGGTCTAAAGGACTTGTGTAACTCGTTGGGAGTGCGACAAGTGGACAAGTGCACCCTGTTGTTATACGCACTGGCTACCTTGGGCAACATCTCGTCCCAATTGAATTGATCTGGTCTAATGTACATGCGCAGCACTCGTTGCAGGATCTTGTTCATCTGCTCAATCTGACCGTTCGTCTCTGGATGACGGCCAGATGACATCAGCAACTCTGACCCATAAACTTTCATCAGTTCCTGCCAGTTCTGTGTAGTGAACCGGGTATCTCTATCGCTAACTATGGACAGCGGAATCCCGTGATCACTAACCCAATGGTCAAAAAAACTTCTGAATTACTAAATCAGTGTGTGCCTCTGCAGGCAACGGAACAAAAACTGCATATTTACTAAACCTATCAACTATCACCATGACTTGGCTCTTGGCGTGCCTACTGTTGACACCAGCGTCCATGAAGTCAATGGAGACTGAAACTCCAGGTTGGTCAGAAATGGGCAAGGGTCGAAGAAGACCTAGAGGGGCACACGTCGTTGTCTTGTTCCTCTGGCAAACTTTGCAACTGCGAACATACTCTATGCAGTCGTTCTTCATCCCTGGCCAAGTATATGCATGCCAACCGAAGTGTCCCTCTCTATCATGGCATTCCCCTAGGATCAGACTACGGATTTCCTCACTGTTGGGAATGCACAAACGGTCTACTAGATTAGTCTTCTCAAATAACAACCCCTCTATAGTGCGGTAATCTGGTTCGGTCTCTGGGGCCTCCTTAACTTTCTTGAGAAGGTCACCATAAATATGGTCTTGCACATACGCTTGTCTTACTTTCTAGCAGGTCTGTCCCTATATCCAGATAGTGGACTATGGCTCCAAAGTAGTCTGATCTTCTACTTAAAGCATCCACAACCACATTGTACTTCCCCTTGACCGGTTTGAGCTCGAAGTCATACTGGTCGGCCCACCTAGTCAACTTAGGTGGCATTTTGGCCTGTGTCTTCAGCCACCTAAGAGTCTCGTGGTCTGAATACACTTGAAGTGCCTCCCAAGCAGGTAATGCTTCCAGTGCTCTAAGGCCTGCCTGAGAGTGTATACTTCTCTCTCGTAAGTCGAGGTAACTACTTTTTTTTAGGGCATCCTCGTTGACATGAACTGTACGGGTCTGTAGCCATTGTCGTCGTCTTGCTGTAACACGGCGCCTATACCATACTGACTCGCGTCCGTGGTGACGACAAACGACAAAGACGGACCTGCTACTTTGGATACTCTATTAACGGCGCCTATACCATACAGTCTTTATCCCACTGCCAGATTGCCTCTTTCTTGAGCAACCTATGAAGAGGAGCGGGGATATGACGATCCTCACAAACTTCCTATAGTAGTTAGCTAGGCTTAGGAACGACCGCAACTTAGTCAACATGCGGGGCGTCGACCAATCTCTAATTGTCGCTATCTTGCTGTCCTCAGGCTTAATGCTATCTCCGTCTAAAATGTGGCCAAGTACAAGACTTGTGTCTTGGCCCACTCGCACTTCTTTGCATTGATCTTGAAGTTAGCCTCTCTCAGCTTCTCCAAGACCTGATTTGGAAGTTAGCCTCTCTAAGCTTCTCCAAGACCTACCTCAAATGACCCTGATGTTCTTGGAGGATCCTACTAAATATTAATATATCATCTAGATAAACTACAACAAATCTGTTTAACCATGACCTAAACAAATCATTCATACAACACTGGAACGTGGCAGGCGAATTGGTTCGTCCAAAGGGCATCATTACGAACTCATAGTGCCCATATCTAGTTCGGAACGCAGTCTTGTATTGGTCATCAGGATGGACCCTCTATTTGATGATACCCAGACTTCAGATCGATCTTCGAAAAATATCTGCAGCAGTGCACTCGATCTAGGAGACCGTCTACCCTGGGAGGTGGCTCAGTGTTCTTTACTGTGATCGCGTTTAGACCCCTATAATCTATGCACATCCGCAACTCTCCTTCCTTTTCGGGGACAAAGAAGACCGGTGCTCCAAAAGGAGATGAACTGGGCCTAATCCAACCCTTTTCTAGGAGCTCGTCTAATTGCTTACGAAACTCCTCTAACTCTCTTGGGGACATTCTGTAGACTGCTCCCTTAGGAGGCCTACTGCGAAGCTCTATCTCGATTCGGTGCTGGATCGGTCGTGCCACTACTCTTGTCGGTGGCTCTGCTAAATCTTTGGACTCTTCCAGCAGCTTGGCAATAGCTGGATCTATGGGTTTCTCCTCCTTAGGCTCAGTAACAGGCCTTACATAAACTACGAAGACCTGCTCCTCTAACAGCTCCTTTTTAACTCATCGCGCGAACGCGGGAGCACTGAGACAGCAATGTGCCAAGGAGTTGTCTACTCCTGACACATGGAACAGGCGGGCTGTCTTGACCTCGCCTGATGGGATAGGGGGCCTACACTCATGCTCTCTCAAATAGAGTGTGGCCCCTGCTGCCTATCCCCAGTCCTTGTCTAGGACTATGTCAAAAGGAAGGTCATCTTGTACGAGGAGAGTCAAGGAATGGAGAACTCTCTCCACCTTCTCATCCTTCTCTAGGCGGAAATACGCTTGGCTCCATCTATGTAGTCCTCAACACGCATAGTGCGGTTGTCTGCGAGGACAATAACTATGGGGTTTTCCAATGTATGGACTTTCAACCCTAGCCTTAGCTTCTTCAGCGCTCTACGACTAATATAACTGCGAGTAGCCCCTGAATCTATAAGGGTTCCTACGCTACTTCTGAAAACCTCTAAATCAACTAAGACTAGTTGTCCCTTGCTATCCTTCTTCATTTTGGCCCAGGCAGGCATCCTCTCCTTCAACTCTTCTGCCACGCCTTTGAGGGAAGTGCCTAGAGAGACACTAACGCAAGCGGTATCAGGACAGCTAATTGGGCACTGGCTCGCAACCTCTGCCAAAGGCTCATGTGGTGTGGGAGTTTCCTATTTGCGCGCGCTCGCTTCCCCACATGGCCTTGTAGTAGGGGCAGTTGCAACCCCTATCAGCGGCTGCCTTTTGACCCTTGGGCATCCGATAGGGCCTCAGTGACCCCGTGGTCTGGGATGACTACCAGGTCGTCCATAACGGTTTTGAGTGCTCGCGCACTCCTCCACTATCGTGAGTGGATGGTCTGGAGTTTATATGAGGCCTTGACACCACGCCTCATATCAGCGAATCGCTCTCGGAGGAGCTTGAAGAAATGGGGAAGCGAGGTGACTTTACAATACGCAATCATGTTGTTCTCACAACTGGTTGCGCGCGCTAGGGACCTAGCGAAGCTGGCCGCGTCATCTTTTAAAGCGTGGAAGGTTACCAGGACCTG